CTCATCTGAAACCTTGGCTTATACATCTCTGACTAATGTAGGGCATAGAAGAACATAGGAAAAAGAAAACTGCATCAAAAACCTTAACCTGGGCCCCCAATGCCTACATGAACACCAATGTCAAGGTTATCACATAAGCTCCCCAACAGTGGCAACTTCATTGAGGTGAGCTTATATTTGAATAAAAGGACGCTTTTAAAATATTATCTTCATCAGAAAAGAAGTCCACTATTTTAATAGGGCTTTCAAAATTTTGTTAAGTGAAGTGGTGAATATTTATACATCTCAAGAAGCTGTTTCAAGAATTTTTCAGAGGATTTCTTTTTTGCCAATTTTGAAATTGGAATCAGCAATTTCTTAACTCTTTCAACACTGAGTAACTTTTATCAAGCAACCCCAGTACACTGAGTAACTTGAGCCATTGTTAGAAAATTCACCTAACATATGAAACAAGAGGCCCATGGGCCACATCGCTCACCTGAGTAACTTGGGTGATGCAGATCTTTTTAAAAGATTTGTTCTATATATATTTCTATGTAAAACTTGGATTCCCCATTGTGGTCCCGCCCTATGCCCGAGGGTCATGATTTTAACAATTTAATATCTACACTACTCAAGGATGCTTCCACATAAGTTTCAGCTTTCCTGGCCTAGTGGTTCTTGAAAAGAAGATTTTAAAAGATTTGTTCAATAAATCTCTATGTAAAACTTGGATTCCCTATTGTGGCCCCGCCCTACCCCCGGGGGTCATGATTTTAACAATTTTATATCTACACTACCCAAGGATGCTCCCACATAAGTTTCAGCTTTCCTGGCCAAGTGGTTCTTGAGAAGAAGATTTTCAAAGATTTGTTCTATATATTTCTATGTAAAACTTGGATTCCCTATTGTGGCCCCGCCCTAACCTCGGGGGTCATGATTTTAACAATTTAATATCTACACTACTCAAGGATGCTTCCACATAAGTTTCAGCTTTCCTGGCCCAGGGGTTCTTGAGAAGAAGATTTTTAAAGAGTTGTTCTATATATTTCTATGTAAAACTTGGATTCCCTATTGTGGCCCCGCACTACCCCGGGGGTCATGATTTTAACAATTTAATATCTACACTACCCAAGAATGCTTCCACTTAAGTTTCAGCTTTCATGGCCCAGTGGTTCTTGAGAAGAAGATTTTTAAAAGATTTGTTCTATATATTTCTATGTAAAATTTGGATTCCCTATTGTGGCCCCGCCCTACCCCTGGGGGTCATGATTTTAACAATTTAATATCTACACTACCCAAGGATGCTCCCACATAAGTTTCAGCTTTCCTGGCCCAGTGGTTCTTGAGAAGAAGATTTTTAAAGATTTATTCTATATATTTCTAGGTAAAACTTGGATTCCCTATTGTGGCCCCGCCCTACCCCCGGGGGTCATGATTTTTACAATTTAATATCTACACTACCCAAGGATGCTTCCACATAAGTTTCAGCTTTCCTGGCCCAGTGGTTCTTGAGAAGAAGATTTTTAAAGATTTATTCTATATATTTCTATGTAAAACTTGGATTCCCTATTGTGGCCCCGCCCTAACCTCGGGGGTCATGATTTTAACAATTTAATATCTACACTACCCAAGGATGCTTCCAAATAAATTTCAGCTTTCCTGGCCCAGTGGTTCTTGAGAAGAAGATTTTTAAAGATTTGTTCTATATATTTCTATGTAAAACTTGGATTCCCTATTGTGGCCCCGCCCTACCCCCGGGGGTCATGATTTTAACAATTTAATATCTACACTACCCAAGGATGCTCCCACATAAGTTTCAGCTTTCCTGGCCTAGTGGTTCTTGAGAAGAAGATTTTTAAAGATTTATTCTATATATTTCTAGGTAAAACTTGGATTCACTATTGTGGCCCCGCCCTACCCCCGGGGGTCATGATTTTAACAATTTAAAATCTACACTACCCCAGGATGCTTCCACATAAATTTCAGCTTTTCTGGCCCAGTGGTTCTTGAGAAGAAGATTTTTTAATGACCCCACCCTATTTTCGTATTTTCTTGATTATCTCCCCTTGGAAGGGGTCTTGGCCCTTGATTTTAACAATTTAAATTCCCCTTCACCCAAGGATGCTTTGTACCAAGTTTGGTTAAAATTGGACCAGTGGTTCTTGAGAAGAAGTTGAAAATGTGAAAAGTTTACAGACGGACGGACGGACGGACGGACAGACAGACGGACGGACGGACGGACGACGGACACAATGTGATCAGAAAAGCTCACTTGAGCTTTCAGCTCAGGTGAGCTAAAAATACAATAACTTCTTTATTTATTAAAATATTTTAATAAAAGACACATCATAAGAAAGGTAAGACATTTTTCTTTTAGATGATACGAAATTTATATGCATTTAAAATTATTTAACAAGACAAAAGCGCCAATAAAAAAAAATATTTTGTATTTTAAATGATCTTATGTAATATTTTGATAAATTTGCTGCTATGAAGTTTCAAAATCACATATGTTCTTACCATCGTTTAAAAGAGAAATTATTCCCGATTAAAATGATATGTAACATGTCATTATTCTTTGAAAAAATATGTCCAAAAAATAAATAAATAAAAACATGGTGTTCTTGTATATTGAGAGAAGTCCGGGGCTTCGTAAACACGGTCCGTCTTGGAGCCTTCATAGTCCGATTCCAAGTCAAGTTTCTCCGACTACCTTTCACAACAATGTTTATTACGCATATCTTTAATGTCTATGAACGTTTCTAATGTCCAAATCCCCGTTTTTACTTGAGATTTCGTCGCCAGAAACATCGGACATTTCGATGTTTACCGCCATTTTGCAAGTTTCTTTGTTTCCTTTAAAATTCGTCTAATTTTCCTTTTTTTCCTGTGATTTTTGCCATGTGGTCCGCCATATTTGTTACAGGATGTTTATATCAAATTACCCATAATTCATAGCGAAGATTTTGCGCAGAGAATACTTTCTATTTCTAAGAATAAACATGTTGCTTTCAGTTTTGTATCTAAAACCTCCACAACGGTCTACCGTGTTGAAAGGAGAAATTTTATCAGACCGTTGTGGAGGTCTACAGTGTTGAAAGGGTTAATACCATTGTGCCATTGATGACTTACCTCCTACTGTCGCTTATACTCAGTATTTTTTTTTTGCCAATTACTAAAACTGGTTAAAAACAAAGCATGTTCAAGGCCAATACGGCAATAGGAATAACTCTTGTTAAATTCAAGTATATCAAAATCTATTTCATTGCAATAAAACCATAGGGCCTATACAATTTTTTTAACAACATTAGAAATGATCCATATTCTTTTTTTTTCAAATTTTCACCTGTGAATGCTCTAGAGGACCAAATGAATGCTTCTACACAAAAGGTCTTTTATTTAAGAAACTCTACAGCTCAGCAGTTCCAAACCATCAATACCAAGGCTTGCAGACTGTAATATTGATAGATTTCTGCCTCTTGATCCGATTTAATAATTTACAATATCTCTTATCATTTTCCTACTGTATTCTGCTGTACTTTGCAACCAAATGTACACCACCCCCCCTCAAAAAGAAAATAAATAACAGTAAATCCTTTTACATCATGTGAAAATCTGTTTCCAATTAGAATTCCAGAATGAAGAAATATATAGACACATTTTGTAATATCATTAGGGCTGTCACGGTTAACCGAAAACTCGGTTAACCGCTCCGAAATGGCATTCGGTTCGGTTCGAGTCAGGTTTTCCGGAATTCGGTTCGGTTTTTTTTATCTTTTATATAATACTAATTTGCTTGCAACACGCGTTGTGATTGGTTGTTTATTTCAATGAAGGTTTCTTTAACCAATGAAAATACAGGTAACATCGAAGACATTTAAACATGGCATACACATGTGGAAGGAAAACCAAATCACAAGTGTGGGAATACTTCACGTTTTGAATGTTTCAATTGTTTGAAACAAGATAACTCTAGTCAATAACTTTATCTTTTTATTTTAAACAAGAAGTTTAATACTTTGTTATTTTTTGTTACATTTAACAACTTGTTCTGTTGAATAAAATGGATAGAAATTTGTGTCGGCAAAATAGTACTTTCTCAATGTCCTTAATCCTTATTATCCTTTGATATATATAAAGATGTTTTATTTAAATTCTCAAAATGAAAACCGAACCGAAAAAACCGAAAACCGAGAATTTATTTTCTGAACCGAACCGAACCGAAAAATGTCTGAACCGTGGCAGCCCTAAATATCATACTAAGTTATTGAAGAAAATTAAAGATGTAAATGCATTTTTAGAGTACAAATTCACTGGCCAGTAAGCTTAATTTGTGATATTGAATTCCACAATCAATCACAATTTACCCATCACCACATGGTTTCAGCCTTAGTAATGTTGGCAAAGTGCCAAGCATATTCTACATATATTACAATTAATTGTAACATGTAATATATCATCAATTAAAAATATTTTGATTATAAAATCAATTTGTCATTTAAAGTACGGAGTTTTCATTCATCAATTTATTCAGCAGTTCTACATGTGCTCAATGACGTCTGCCATCTTGGATAACGTGTCTGACGAATGGATTACTTACCTCGGACAATTGTTTTTCAGCTTGTTCTCTTTGATTCGGGTCCAGTGTGGCCCTTAACACCTCTACAAGTTTTCCTGCATCCATTTTCCGCTATAAGAAGACGCTTAATCAACTTAATTTTGTGTTCGGAGGGACAATTTCTCCCTCAACCTAACCACATTTCAGTCGCGCCAAAGAGAGAGTATCCTCATGGATGTACCGGAAATCAATGAGCTATGTCGTAAAATTTATCTCGTAGATTTTACCATCTTTTTAGACCTACCTGAAATATTTAATAAAGTTAAAAGACATCTATATTTATTGAAAAAAAATTCCTGATACATCTAATATTTTTACAAATACATCAATGATTACTACATTTGAACTTTGACCTTAAACCTTACTTTCACTTTCTCTTATCACCCGACTGTTAATCATCAGTCATTTGTGTCAGTAGCCGCAGAATATGTAAGTATCACACGTGTTAGGTAACTTTATGCGAATTTTTTTCCTCTCTGATCTGGATCTAGGAAAAGTCTTTAACATCTGTTAGCTCTTTGATGAACAATAACTGACAAAAATAAGTACATTTTCTTGTCTGAGACTTGAGGCTGTGCTTCAGGAAGGTGCATTTTGTGTATTATGTGTTTTCTATGTCCGTCTTAACATACTGATAATTATATAAATCGAAAATCATTGAATTCTGCATTTTAAAAATGGATTCTAATGAACAAAAAAGAGCTCAAGAGAATGGTTGACACTCGCCGTACAAGAATCGGGGGCCAGCAGGGGACTACTGCCTCAGTTCACACATGAATTCCTCAATATCTATAATAAATCCCAGCTTCTGAACCAAATGTCCTCATTACTTAAGCACTGAAATTGAAAATATTAACGGAATAGCTAGGGCACAACGATTTCTGGCTATGTGAAGTGTAGAATGTGGTGTCATTGACTAAAAGTCTATAGAGACAATAAGTTTGGCACTTTTTGACTTCTGTATAATGAATGTTTAAATGATAAATGCTGCTGATTATGAAGATTTCACATTATTACTTCATACCCTTGATAACAAAGTTTGTAACATGATATACCAATTGTTTACATGTAAACAATCCAGAAAAAAATGTAACTACATGTGACAGAACGCACATGTAATCTTGCTTGTACTAAATAAATTCTTGATTTGGATGAAATCTTCTGCTGCAGTATTTTGCTGTGGTTCCATACAGTTAAAAAGTTCTGTCAAAATAGGATACTACATTTTATTAGGCTATCTTTAGGAAAATGTTTGATTGCCCTCTCCCGACTGACTGCATGGCTAAAAATGGCCCAAAGCGAAACTTTTCTTAACCTCTTGAAAGCAATTATTTTTTGTATGTTCTCGGAAAATAAAAAATATAATTAAAAAAAACAAGCATTGAATTGAATTTTTCTGAGAAAAAATTTCCTAACCTACTTTACCTACTGACCCAATATTTTCTGATTGAGTCCAGAGAGGGCAAACATACATAATGTTTAAAGTTGCATGGCCTTATATAACCTATTTAAAGACTGCAAAACATGTAGCCAATGCCAAAGTTTTAAAACCAAATAATGGACAAAAAAGTAAATTCTGGCAATCTGTAATACTTTCTCAGGGAATCTGTACTGAGTTTATGAAATCACTGTAGTAATTATTTTAATTTTCTCTGAATCAGGAGCAGAAGCCGAGATAGCAGGGATCGCCTTGATCATCTGGATGGGGAGGTGAGCGAGGTTACCTCCCTTCTAAAGGACAATGTTGATAAAGTGTTAAGAAGGGGCGACAAGCTAGATGATATCCAGCAGAAAGCAGGTACACACACACTCTCCCCCTCACTCTTTCCCTCTCTCTCAATCAATAATACTGTAAACCAACTTTTAATTGTGTGCGAGAAATTTTTGCAAGGTTCATGAGAGCCTTGTCTCTGTATCTATTAATAACAGATCCAAAAAGGACTTGATCACAAAAATTAATCGTCATAATCTAGTTAAAACCTGGTAAATCACGAAATAAAATCGTTGCAAATAAAAGTTGGTTTACAGTAAGTGCTTAGCAATGAAGCCTAGTATATTTTAAATGTAATTGCATGCCTCTTTGAAACATGGAACTCCCATGCCTCAAATTTTTCATTACGTGCGGTTTTTGAGACAATAAGCCGAAATGCTGCATGGATTGACAAATGATCAATCTTTAATTCCAGAGGACCTTGAGTCCAGCTCCGTTCAGTTCCAGAGAAGTTCCAGAAGTCTTCGGCGGAAAATGTGTTGTGCCAATATCAAGATGACCTTGATCTTAATCCTGGTTGTGTTTGTTATCATTGCAGTCATTGTGGTTATTGTACTAAGTAAGTTTTGGAATTACAAACTTCATTATCCCACACTTATTGGGGCCAAGAAAAGATTTTCAGTTTTCTGAAGTTTAAAAGATATCTAGGGTTAAATAAAGGGGTAACAATGTTTTAAACAGGATTTACACATGAATACATACTTTGAGCATGTAATTTCTTTTTTGTAATCATGTGGGAATATTTATAATGAAAGTGTCCATATGAAAAGTGTAGTTTTATTTTACGCTTCACATATATAAGAGTTAAGGCCCTTTGATGACAATAATTTATGAAACAGTTCCAGCTGTTAAGCTGGAGTTTGAGAAATCTTTTGGATTCAGATATTAACCATCTAGCATGATTAAAAAAATCATATATAATTCAGTTAGAATTAATTAACCAATTAAAATTATGAAGGTTAACTATATAATACAAGTTGCAATCAAGTACATGTACATTTGTTTACAAAATGGAAATACAAATATTGAATGTTTAAATTTGGGCTTTGTGTTATAGTGTATATCTGTATATTATGGAAATCAAATAAAATATGTTTGGTATGTGGTTGGTTAGTGTTTCAGAAATATATTTTATATCTTTTCAGTGACTGTGAAACCATGGGAACACTCAGACAGTGGTAATGATCACCATGGAAACAAGACACTGATGAATGGATAATCATTGACCTGAATCCATCAGTCCTCGGTGACTTCTTACTTAAAACAAGTCCCAGTGTACATTCCACCTGCTTATTATGTGATACTATGTTAGTGATACTCTCTGTGTGTTGTAGTGTTATGTGTCAATCAATGTCCCAGTGTTGTATGTATATAAATTAATATATAGAGAGAAAGGACTAAGTATTCTTAGTATAAAGTATCCTGTAAATGTATATTATTTTAATACATGTGGCTGTGTATTCTGTTTAGCGGTTTTGGCGGAAAGAAATGTCAGCTAATTCAAGTACAACGTGTCTTCCACACGTAGACATAAATAAGAACATTGAGAAATGGGCTAAATCAGATCTTCGCTAACTTGTTCCAAAATCAATTTCAGCCAAATATCGTACATGCTAATTATAATACATTTACTGTATATAGAGTACTAAATATTCTTACTTACTGTTTCTACATGTATTTAACTAACTAACTATTACTTCATTTACCGTATAAGCAGAATTTTTAGCGAAGGTTTGATTTTGGCAATTTTAGCGAGGGTGCCAAGATCGCTAAAATTGAATATCGCTAGAAATTAAATGCACTTTATTTGTAATAGCATCTTTAGTGTGCTTTTTAAAATCGCTGAAATTACATCTCGCTAAAAATAAAATACCAATTTTAAGGACAAATCGCAAAATTTGCGTCTAGCTAAAATTTCCACTTATACGGTATTTAAAATTTAAATATGTTAAAACTTTATAGAGTAAGGCAAAGTGATGTACAAGTCTAATGGGCTGGATATAATGTAAGTCAAATTCTGTTGTAATTAAGTTGTATCCTGTATTTATATATGTCACTCTATAATAATGAAGTATTTATACTAACTTAGTTTTCAGGGAAATTAGTATTGACATTTATAACAAACTCTTAGTCATAATGATCATGCATTTTTGAATGGTATATGGAAATATACATGAAATCAATGCAATGTATTGACATAAAGATAATGCATATATTAATTTTTAAATGAGTTATCACGAAACTGGCTTGAGAGATTCTGCATGGTCAATTCGTTGGAGCTTTAAAAGTTTAACTACTGCAGTTCAATGTTTATTGATACGGTCCCAGTGTATAGTGATGTTATACATGTAGAGTTCAAGAATGCATAAATCATTTCTTAGACCATCTTTAAAATAATGTTTGTTTGCCCTCTCCCGACGCAGAATGGGGGCAGGGGTGGAATTAACGTTTCCTGGAGGTTAAAAATTGTTTTGAATTGTGCCATTTTTAGCCAGTAGGGTAAGTGAGGAGAGGGCAAACAATTTTTTTTATAGGTGGGCTTATTTCTTCATATTATATATATTATGTGTAACTCATGTTTAAAGACAATGACAATTGTTATTTTGTGAAGTGCAATACCCAGTTCATAAATAATCTCAGTCTATGTATTGCTTCAAATTACTTATTTAAATTTGTTTTGTGACTATTAAAGACCATGTATGCATAAGGAATAGTTTTAGACTACTCATTGACAAGCAGTTATTGGTGTAAAATACAGTCAAAACTCATTATGTTTAATGCAATGTGACCCCACCCCCCAATTTGAGATATCTGAGAATTTGGGATATCCAGGGTGAAATGCTTGGAGAGTGAGAGGTTGGGATTTTCAAATCACCTAAACATATCCATGGTATTTAAGATATATCAGTGTTTAAGATACTGAAGATTAACTTTATTTGCATTTATGAATTTGGGCTACGTGATCATAATTTTTATGCATGTCTTTGTTTCTGTTTTTTTATGCGCCCAGATCGATAGATCCGAGGCGTATATTGTTTTTGCCCTGTCTGTTTGTCTGTTTATCTGTTTGTCTGTTGTCAACTTTAACCTTCGCCATAACTTTTGAACCATAAGAGATAGAGACTTTGTATTAGGTATGCGTACTCCACTGAAAAGGTTCTTTCAAATGACATCAAAGTCCATGACCTTATGACCTTGACTGTGACCTATATGCTAAAAATAGCTTTTTTCGAACTTTTGCAATAACTATTGAACCATGAAAGGTATAGACTTCATATTCGGTATGCTTACTCCACTAATGAAGCTCTTTCATTTGACACCAAGGCCATTGACCTTGTGACCTTGACTGTGACCTATATGCTAAAAATAGCTTTTTCGAAATTTGGCCATAACTTTTGAATAATGAGAGATAGAGACCTCATATTTGGTATGCATGCAATACTACTTAAGCTCTTTCAAATGACACCAAGGCCATTGACCTTTTGACCTTGACTGTGACCTTTATGCTAAAAATAATTTTTTGGAATTTTGTTGCCAGTGAGCGCATAGTGTTTCACAAACACATCTTGTTTTATTTAGAAACAACAGAATTAGCTCTATAAAATCATAATAATCATATGGACTTCAATTTTTTTCATTGGAATTCTTGTACTAGTAACTTTTAAAAATGGACCAGTATTTTTTTCTCTGTATTTACATGTAGTTCACCTGAGCCAAATGCTCATAGGAATACACAGGGAAACGTTTAAAAGGCCATGATTTGTCATATATATAAGAAAGCATACTCAGTTAGTGTAGATTCTAAGTTGGTTGAAATCTTGACCCTCAGGGAGTAGAGTGGGGCCATAAAGTGCAATCATAGATTAATACAGGAATTGTCTTTAAAACTTTTCTCAAGAACAGCAAAGCCATCATTAGTCATATTGATATGGAAGCATTGTCGTGTAGTGTAGATTCAAGATCCCCAGGGGTAGGGAGGGGGCCACAATAGATGATCAAGTTTATAAATGGGAAAAATCTTTCAAAATCTTCTTCTCAAGAATAGCAATGCCATGGCTATGTTAAGTTAGGGCACTTTGCATTGTCCCTTTTTAAGTGGGTCATTACCCAGGGTTCACTTCTATACACTACAGAAGATCAAATGTAAAGCAATGATAAGTCAAGGGAATGCGATAGCCTCCTCAGTTAGTGTAGATTCATTCATCAAATTAACCCCCTTCCACCCTCCCCCAACCCAGGGGGATATTTTAGGACCATTTATATATCTATACTTTACAACTAAACTGACTTCTTTTTTTTCTAGCCAGTGTGCTCAGGTGAGCAATGTGGCCCATGAGCATCTTTATTTTTGTTTTGTTTTGATTAAAACACTTCATTAAATCGCTGTTGATTGACCAGGAGTGTCAGATTACAGTGTTTGGTTTTATCAATGAACAAAGAAAGGGATAATTTATATGCAGAATTTAAAAGTCATTGGCATAATTACCGGTAGGTATGATAAATATCAACAGATATGCTTTGTTTTTTATGTACTTTGAAATGTACATTCTATAATTATGTAAATAAAAATATGTATCAGTATTCATCTTAATTCATTGCTTGGGAAAACAAGTTCATGAAGGGCAACAATGGTTTTTGGGTTTTTTTTGGTGAATTAAAGTCTCTTACTTAAATAGAAGTCATGCACATGACTTAATAATCTTTATACTTCACGAGGCATTTACATTGTTATTTTGTTGAATACATGCTAATGTTACTAGAAGGTCAGACATGCAGTGTATTAGATAAGGTGAAAATTCAGTTCTGGAAACCTTTCTTGTCATTTATACCTTTTATCTTTAGAAAAACAAGCCATGGCAGTTCATATCGCACAAATTAATTATGTTAATCTTATGTGTTTTCAGAATTTTTTTCTCAGCCATATCTTACATAATATGCACTGTCAGATGTAGGGTATAATTCCATGCAGTTTTAATTTTGTAGCAATTTTAGAGCTATATATTTGATCTCACAAAGCATTTTTAAAAATGTACATGTATTAGCCAATACATGTAAACAGATAGAAGTTAAATTAAAAAAACTATTTTGTTAAAGTTTTTAATACAAATTAGGTTTCACTCATATGGAGACTCCACTACTTGCCGGTGGAGAGCTGCAAATTTTGTCCTATGTTCGACAATTTTCATCAAATGTTTCAGCTCATTCAGACATCAATAAACCACAGTTTAACCCTTTTCAGAATTTGTCACAACTTTACATAAAAAAAATCCTTCTTTTCCATAAGTAATATTGCTTTTCGACAGTTATAATTCTTGTAATTTTTTAAAGGCAATTGAACTCAATTATTGCTCATAATCACTTTGATTTAAATATATTATCTGTTAACCATGCTTTCAGGAAATGAATTAACAGACCTTCTATATTTATATTCAGAAACTGGCACCTGTCATCAAAATTAATTTTTACCAAGATTTTATTTTTTGCATTAACATCTTATACTGAAACAAATGTATATATGAAGACTCCAATCTTTCCCCTAAAGCCATTACTATATTTTATTAACCCATCAGGAAAATGCATTAAACTATATAAACCACAGCAAATACTTCACAGCTTATATTTTTATTATGAGTGCATTGTTGTTAAAAAAAATACTTTGGAAAATACATTGCAAGTCTAAAAGATGACCATGATAGCCAAAAAAGAAATAATATAAAAGATAGCCATGATCTGCTTTGTAATGAAATGTAAAATGTTGTTACTTAATGCTTTAAGTTGAAAACTTGGATGATAGTATTTTTACATTTTGCTTTAGTACTCTCAACAGAAAGATTAATAGTAACTCAAAGCATAATAAAGTGAACATAACATATATCCACTTTGGGCTGAATATGAAAGAAGATGTGCTTATTAAAACACTGATGTAAAACTCCAAGGTCAAGGTCATAAAATTGAAAATAATGGTACCCAAAGAAAGGTACTAGTATTGTCACAAGGACAACATCTTTGAAATAAAAAAGCCCCAGCATAAAACAATCCAAAAGTTATAGCCAAGCTTAAAGTTTTTCAAGACTAGGTCAAATTGCAAGGTCAAAGGGTTAAAAGTGTTGGTATCCAAAGGATATGGTCTTGTCATAAGGAATAATAAGTGAAATATGAAAGTCATAGCATTAACCATTAAAATTAAAAGGATATGAAAAAAGTGAAAGTTTTAAAAGGTGAGCCAAACTTCAAGATTAAAGGGTCAAAATTACTGCCTGGTACCCAAAGAAAGCTCTTGTCAGAAGGAATACACATGTGAAAGCCTTAGCTCCAACTGTTAAGAAGTTATGGCTGATGTTTTTTTCAAGGATAGGTCAAACTCAAAGGTCAAGGTCAAATGTTCATGAAAATGAAAAATAATTATTTTCGAATTTCTTTTTGTGTTTCTGTTCTTTAAACTTGAAAAAAATGTGGGTGTGAATAACTTTGTTGTGAAATTTCTGTGAAATTCTTTCAAAATGCTACTCCTCCTACAGTTTTGGTCTGATTTCAATATAACTTGGCACACAAATAGACTACACTAAGATACATAATTCTGTGTATCGGTTTTTGATTTCGACGAACGATGTTGGCGTTGTTACTAAAAATAGAAATTTCTGTGAAATTCTTTCAAAATGCTACTCCTCCTACAGTTTTGGTCTGATTTCAATATAACTTGGCACACAAGTAGACTACACTAAGATACATAATTTTGTATATCGGTTTTTGATTTCGACGAACGGTGTTGGTGTTGTTACTAAAAATAGAAATTTCTGTGAAAGTCATTCAAAATGCTACTCCTCCTACAGTTTTGGTCTGATTTCAATATAACTTGGCACACAAGTAGACTACACTAAGATACATAATTCTGTGTATCGGTTTTTGATTTCAACGAACGGTGTTGGCGTTGTTACTAAAAATAGAAATTTCTGTGAAATTCTTTCAAAATGCTACTCCTCCTACAGTTTTGGTCTGATTTCAATATAACTTGGCACACAAGTAGACTACACTAAGATACATAATTCTGTGTATCGGTTTTTGATTTCGACGAACGATGTTGGCGTTGTTACTAAAAATAGAAATTTCTATGAAATTCTTTCAAAATGCTACTCCTCCTACAGTTTTGATCTGATTTCAATATAACTTGGCACACAAGTAGACTACACTAAGATACATAATTCTGTATATCGGTTTTTGATTTTGACGAATGGTGTAGGCGTCATTACTAAAAATAGAAATTTCTGTGAAATTCTTTCAAAATGCTACTCCTCCTACAGTTTTGGTCTGATTTCAATATAACTTGGCACACAAGTAAACTACACTAAGGTACATAATTCTTTATATCCGTTTTTGACTTCAATGAACATTATTACCTTGGTAAATAAAGATAGCAATTTCTGTTACTCTCAAAATGCTACTTCAAATACAGTTTTAGTCTGATTATAATATAATGTG